CAATACGGTGCCAGCAGACATTTCATTACCTCTGAGCTGCTCAGTGTGAACCAGAGAGATATATGATTAGCACTTATTACCACTAATTTTTCTGTGCACACCTGCAATTACATTCTCTTGTAATCACTTGTTCTCTATCCATTACTGTTACAATGGGATACAACTGCAAAAGGGACATGACATATATTGACAAGAGCAGGCTTACGCTATTACATTTGCTGTCAGTGTAGGTAACATTGGAACATTTAATTGAATTAAAACTGTGCAGCTCATCTGATGCAAAGCTTTATAGAATTCAAAATTAGAAAGATTACATCAGGAAATGGACAGGCATCACTTCTGATCAGTGAGATGAAAGCACCACCAAAAATGTCTGCAGAATCAATCTTTGAAGTAAAATTCCTAACGCCTCGTCAAAGTCCTTGATGTGGATAAAGTAAGTGGTGCTAATGAGAATGTGAACGCAAATAATGGCAGAGAGAGAGAAAAAAAACGTCTTTTCTGGATGGCCCTTGACCTCTGTTTAATGAGAAAGAAATGCTCATAAACCTCCTAGACAGATGCCCTTGCTGCTTGGACGTGTACCAGCTCATTACAAGCTATTCAGAATCGGTGTTTTTTGATATTCAGGCGTAGGGGAAAAACTGACCATTTCACCTTGATAGAAAATATTATCGCAGAATATCAACCCTGTATGGTGGATTTCTTTTGCAGAGGAAAATAGTTAACGTGGCTGTAACCAAAATGTTCAAATAGGGATGAACCTACAGATAATGATAACCTCAGTTGGTCCATAAATGTACTATTGTGATTCACTCTCACTGCTGCAGGCAGCTGTTTTCTTTGAAAACCCCTCTAAAAGGGTTTTTAGACAGCAAACAGGCACGGTTAGAGACTAGCTATTGAACATACTGGAACATTTACTAGCTGAAGAGCCAGATATATAAGGGTTGGTTTATAGAAATTACAATACCTTTAGTGGTATCTAGCCATGCAGATAGTTTTGGCTTTATACAGCATTAAAAACAGCAACATAGATTCTCCCAGTCACTCTGGATAATCCACAGACCTCAGTGTGAACAGTTTTCACTCTAACTACTTTCTACTGAGGAAATATAACTATAACAACTGCTGACAGGGCGGGCTGTGAATCATCCTAAGACACGATTTTAGGAAGGAGATGTTGCTGTTACAAAATGCCATTTTCCAATACAGTGTAAAGCATAAACAAAACTCCATTTACCTCTGTTGTTTTGGGACGGAGGCAGAAATCTCAGAACCTCAGCAGAACCAAAACCAAAACTATTAGTATGTAGGTTATAGATACCACGAACCAACCCCGTTAACACTGTGAGCTGCCAACAAAGGAAAGTATTATACAACCTGCACCCTGCCCACATGTTCTTGAGACGCCTCCAAAGCAAGGCTTGGACTCCAATTGACCCTCAGACAAGGCAGATGAATTAAAAGTACAGTTACCAAATGGTTGAGGCAGGCAAAGGTCGGCAACAGGGTAGCAGTCAGAACGGACAACCGAGCACAAAGGAGCATAAACAAGCTGGCAGAGTGTCCAAAAAGGCAGGCAAGGGTCAAAAAACAGGGCAGACAGAAAACAGGCAAAAAGGCAAGAACACAGATGGCTCAACAGACAATCTGGCAAGGAGCAGGAGAAAATAGGCTGTTATATGTTCTAGACTGTTTGCTAAACCTTTCCACTAGTAAGTGTCCAAGTCATCAATTTTGGGAACCCCTAATTAAAAGAATTATTAAGAATTTAGAGTAGCGTTACCATTGTAGATTGCATTTTTTGTTGTGCAACAGCTTGATAGGCATAGCAACAGTAACTAAGGGGGGTGGGGCTTAGCGAAAGGTCAATTAAAGCAGGTGCCTGCGTGGGGTTTGGAGATCAGGTGACTGGAACTGGCAGCAACACGCTTAGGACCACTGCTGGTTGGACAGGATATAGAGTGACTGGCAAAAATTAAGGGCTGGCAGACGCTATGACAGTTATAAGTAACATTGTGCCTAATTTTATATACACATACTGTACCCGTGACCATCTTTAGACAAGACTTTGAGAAGAGTCGTGTGATTGCCAGCTTTTATCTGCCAATACAATCCTCACGGGACTGGTTCTCGCGAGCCATAACCGGTCCTCGAAGGGAACCGAGCCTGCAATTTAAAGCAGATCAATATAATCCTCAGTGCTTTATTACACAACACTTGAAATAGAACAGGCATTCGATTTCTGTGAGGCGTGCTCATTGTCTCCATATGTAGTATAAAGGTGAAATGCAATAAAGGCTAAAATCTTACTGTGTTTCACGTTTCCTTTGTATGGCCTTATACAGTTTTCACATAGCCAGAGCTCAAGATTAGTTATTTTCTTGTCTCCCACAGGTCTGCAAACAGTAAAAGCTCCTCTATCTGCCGCCTGCTTTATTGAGTTACTCTATATTCCCAGAATTCAATATCTGTGTGTGTGTGTGTGTCATGCCTCTACACACAGTTTGTGTCCACCACTATGTACTATGAATAGAGACTAGTACAGCTTTGTAGTATGATGACTGTGTGGAGAAACTTACTGCTTGTTATGATGACACTTGATTTTCTAATGGTATATATTAACCTTTACCTCACTGTTGACTTGGCAAATGGTAAAAGGTGGGGGTGGATACAGGTTGAAAGCATACAGAAAATTGAAATAGAGAGATTAACTGTGGATGCGCACAGAGAAGAAGATGTGTGGTGTCGTTGTTATTTATTTGAGTTTGTAGATTTTATACGTTTTATGAGGATATGTTTGAGAAAGTGAGTTGTAGTCTGTTTTTACAGTTTAGTAGTATTCTCTGGCCGATAGTTTGGGCCACCTGTAGAGCATTTGTGTCTCCTAGTATGCACAGGGATACAGGGATTCTGAAGAATAGTAATGGCCAATGCTCAAAGAATAGTAATGGTTTAGTAGTTATTTCTTTCC